TGACCAGATGGAACATCACAGCGATTCTTTCTCCATCCCTGCCTACTTTCCAGGTGATGCCAGCAAGTTATTCGGCTTTTTATGCGGCAAATTAAAACAGAGATTTCAGTCTCTGTTCTCCTCATTGCTCAGGGTGGGTTACACTTGTTCTTCAGCTACTTTCATTTATTTCCTTGCCTTAGTGCATCCAGCCTGTTCTCATACCAGATGGAACATCACAGCGATTCTTTCTCCATCCCTGCCTACTTTCCAGGTGATGCCAGCAAGTTATTCGGCTTTTTATGCGGCAAATTAAAACAGAGATTTCAGTCTCTGTTCTCCTCATTGCTCAGGGTGGGTTACACTTGTTCTTCAGCTACTTTCATTTATTTCCTTGCCTTAGTGCATCCAGCCTGTTCTCATTTTTTTGCTTTGTTTTTAACTTCGAAACGTCCTTCATAATACAGAATCCACTTGTCCCAGAAACCCAGGAGGTGAGACAAGCCTGGGCAAAGAGGGCAATTGCCCCAGGACCCGGTGATGCAAAGGGACCCACAGGGCTCCAACCGCTGCTGTGGTAGCAACCTAAGCCCTTAAAATCCCTGCTTCTGTGCACCGCCTCTGTGTTCCAGGCTGCTCTTAAGGCAAGCAGGAGAGGTGGGAGCACTGTGTGGCATGCTCCAAGCAGATTGTGTGCATGCGGCGTTCTGGGGTGCACTGAGGGCCAGCTGCCCTGAGCCCTGCCCCTTCCAGGAGCCTGGAGCCAGCCTCCCTTCATCTTGCCCAGGGACCCACCATGGCTAATGGCTACCCTGCAGTCAGGTACCTATTCTCTAAAATAAGCAAAGCAGCCAGCAGCAGCATAGAAAACAAACAGTGGGAGATGAAGGAACACTGTAAATCAGAGACATTCATGAGAAAGCCAGTCGTTTTGTTCCTAACTTACAGTCCAGTGGCTTGCTTCATTTAATGGAGCTATTTGTTATTCCACTCTCACATATACTCTACTATGCTTTCCTTGCCCTTTGAACTCTCAGACAGCTCATTTCAAGTCTTTCATGCAACTCTTATAGTGTATCCGAATCCATCACAAGCCCTAGTACTGCCCAGGCAACGGCTCTGAAGATTGTCTTAAAGCATGATTGTCATGGACTCCAGCTGTCAGTTGTGTTGAATGCTTCTTCAAATGTACAGTGTATATCCTTGGGTTTTTTTCCCCTCTGTTGTCTTAATTCATTATTTTGATATCTCTGTAGTTTTGTACAAAATGATCCGATAATGGCCAGTTGGTAGCCATCACTGATATAGAGCAGTGATGTTAGCTTCTATGTTTGTAAATAAAGAGGTATGTTTTATTTCTTAAACTTGCAGATGAGTCTCTGTGCTCCTTTCATTCCATTTGTGTATCGTGGTAGTGCCTGAATTCCTAGCCATGAATCAGGAGCCTATTGTGCTAGGTGCCATTCAATCAGAAAACAGTCTCTGCCTCAAAGAGCTTACAATCTACGGGTTATTTATTTTGCCATAAGAATTTGCTTTAATAAAATACCTTTATTTAACAAAAACAAATTCCTAGTCTAATAAAATTGTTTTCACGTTCTGTTAACTAAGCCAACAAAATCCAGTACAAACAGATGCTAAGTCTATTCTCCCTTGCATTTTGGTGCAAAACAAAACAAAAGTTCCTGAAAGTGAAACTGACCATAAGGGCCAGTGACATTGACGTCATTGAGTTTATGTTCCAGTACTCGGATGCTATGCTGAGTTTAGTAGAAATATTGAGAGATTGTAGACATGGAGAGAGCATAACTAGAGAATAGTAAACTGGATTTTAAAAACTCTTTCAGAATAATCCAAGGGGGTATCAGTAAGAGAGGCAGTTGTTTGTTAGCACTGTTCACTTTTAAGTAGCATGTCCATGTTCCTGCAGTCTGATCCTAGGAAATCCTTCGTAATATCCAATACTCAGCTTGCTGATCAGGGGCTACTTTTGTGTACTGGACTATTGTCACAACACTGTATTGCTCCATCAAAGATAAATGCCATATTTACTTCTCATGACGCACAAAACTTGGCACATTATTGCATCTGTCATTGAAGACTTTCACAACTCTGGTTCCAAAGCTGTGATCCCAAATTCTCATTGTTCTGTTACTCACACCTCTGTATATCGTAAGTGGCAATGCCCATTTTTTTTCTAATGTACGAATCATGAAGGTTGTGACTCTCCAATGATCAGTGAGTCAGTATCTGAGCCCAGAATAGAACCTGGATCTCCAATTCACAGCTAATATAAGAGGTATCTGAAATCAATACCACTAGCAAAGGTTTCAGCTTTAACCATGGGTTTCTCACTCCCAGTCTTATGTGCTAATGTTGATGCTGTTGCCTCACCCTGGCTTGGGGCAGCCTGGCTTGATTAACTTCAAAATTTTAATGGGAGTTGGCCATTTTGGAGCGTTCTTCATCAAATGACCCATTGAACATGGTTGCCTGGTTCTGTGCGGCATTCTTTGTGCCATCATCCTGCCTAGTAGAAGCCTGGCTTATGACATCATAATTGTTTCAAAGTAGCATGTGTTATGGAAACTTTAGAGACTTAATGGAGCCCTAGAAGGAAGTCAAGAACCAGGACACCTCTCCTGCATATACAAAATGCCTCATGCCTTGTTAGAAAGGAAAATAGCTCAGCATATAAACGATTTTATTAAAATAGTTATGAATTTGCCTTTAAACTCTTGATGTTCTGATGGCAATGAAGTCAAAAGCTTATCTTCATGATATTGGAGATTTGGGGAATGCTTTAAGTCTGAGGATACATGTATGTAAGACAATATTACTTCTGTACATGGTAAGTACTATTTTCCTATTGCTGGCATTGTATTGGGCTTTCCAGATTTTATTATGGATCATATTTTATACTTTGGGGCTGGAAAAACTCAACTGGAATAATTTCTCTTTGCTGCAGAAGTTGTTTTAAAATCATTTTTCAGTTCTCCCTTCTGCTTGCTAGAGTTTATATTAAAATATTTTGTATCAAAGGGGGATTTCTGTTGTTGAAGATGAGTAGTTTAAAACAAAGTATTAAACTTCTGTTATAGAAATAGGAACCATGTGATGAACAAGGGCTAACCTATTAATAGGTTGCGTTTTCTTTAGCAGCACTTCAGTTCAAGTCCTTGTCCTTGGAGGATTTCATGTATGTGGGGAATTAGGCTGCGAAAATGCTGCTCCTGGAATTTCAGTAATACGTAGGATGAACACTTATGAAAAAAGTCTTGTACTTGTTGGACTACTAACTGCCCATGGCTTATAACTCTGAGTCGGCAGAGATGAAGACCTTGGAAAACAGCTTTATCTGCGGCACATTAGCGTTTGGTTTCTATCTGCCTTTGTGGGCAGCTTCCCTTGAAACAATTACTGTCCCAGAGCAGCTGAAGTCAGCAGTAGCTAAGGTCTTGGTTAGCACCACATCCTGCAGTGTTACCTGTGGCCTGGGCTTCAAGGTAGAGGAGCTATGTCAGGTTGCCCCAAATGGGGAAAGGAGTCATTGTACCTTCCGCAAATCAGACTGCCTGACCAGCTGGATCTGTGGGTTGCTCCATTTCACTGTCCCCATTGGCAGACCATTTGAGCTCAGCTGCCTGACCTCTGAGATGATTGGCGTTGGTAGCCAGGCCTTTATTTTTACGTGGCGGCTTGCCAGAGGCATAATCACCACGGATGATACACTTTTCAAAGCTTTCAAGACACCAAGCTTTGTCATCAAACTCTCCCCCGCCAAAGAATCTGATGCAGGGACTTACCGGTGTGATGTGCAGCTGATGAAGACATTCAAACTCGTCAAGAGGATCTACTTTGGCCTCAGAGTGATACCTAGTAACTTGGTGGATCTGAACTTTGAAAAATCCTTGACTTGGGAGCAGAAGCTAGCAGCAAATGAAAAGGAAGGAAACCAACAGAATGGCACGAGTGTCATAGTACAGTGGCATCACCAGTCTTGGCAAAGAAGGGCTTTGTTGGTGTTCCTGATAGGAATTGGAAGTGGGGTAGCAGGAGGCGTGTTGGTGGGCACAGTTGTCTACTTTTTGCTGCAGGCTCGCAAGAAAAACAGAGCCATAGAGAAGTGAACTGCTTTTTAATGGGGTCTCTTCCTACAAAGGGCTAGCGTAAGTGTTGCAGTAAGCTAACTTAACATCAGTATTTCAAAGGGGTGTAGGGGTGTGTTTCTGATCAAATGAGCTTTAACTATTAAAGCCATCAAATGAGCTCTCATAATGTGCTTGCTTTTAGTTTCATAAGTCTGTGGTAATTTTCACAGGACTTAGGAGCCAGGAACTCCTGAGTCTCAATGATAGTCCTGATGCAGACTTGGGCAAGTTAATTAGAACCCATATTTGCAAAAGAGTTCATTAATTTTGGGTGTTCAAGCCACCTGAGGCTTTAACTTTAGGAGGGTACAGATGATATGGAGAAAACTACTCCTTGCTCACCAGTTCCTATCCTGCTAACTTCTGACTAGTTCAGGATATGCCACAACTGGCTTTTGTAACTGGTTTGCCTGACTCTTCTTCCCTACGTACTGCTGTAGTGAATATAGGGCCTGCCTCAGATTGGAGCTCCATTGTTCTTAGATGCTGTGAAACATCTAGTGAGATAATTATAGAATTGTAGGACTGGAAGTGACCTCAAGATGTCCCCATGTCCAGTTCCCACATGCAAGACAGGACTAAGTATTACCTTGACCATCCCTGACAGGTGTTTGTATACTGTGCTCTTAAAAACTCTCAGTGAAGGAGATTCCACAACCTTCCTAGGCAACTTATTCCAGTGTTTACTCTGACAGGAAGTTTTCCCTAATGTCCAACCTAAACCTCCGTCATTGCAATTTCAGCCTATTGTTTCTTGTCCCATCCTCAAAGATTAAAACAATTTTCTCCCTCCTCCTTGTAACAATGTTTTATGTAGTTGACAGTTTTTATGTCCCCCCTTCAGCTTTCTTTTCTCCCCGACTAACAAACCCATTTTTGTCAATCTTCCCTCAGAGGTCATGTTTTCTGCAAAGGGACCCACAGGGCTCCAACCGCTGCTGTGGTAGCAACCTAAGCCCTTAAAATCCCTGCTTCTGTGCACCGCCTCTGTGTTCCAGGCTGCTCTTAAGGCAAGCAGGAGAGGTGGGAGCACTGTGTGGCATGCTCCAAGCAGATTGTGTGCATGCGGCGTTCTGGGGTGCACTGAGGGCCAGCTGCCCTGAGCCCTGCCCCTTCCAGGAGCCTGGAGCCAGCCTCCCTTCCTTCCCACCTTTCCCAGGGGTCCGGCATGGCTATTGGCTCCCCTAGTTGGAAGAGATTGTTTTAGGGAAGTTGTGTGGCCTGGGTTATAACCAGATGATCACAGTGGTTCTTTCTGACCTTGGAATATAAGAGCAGATGTTTTGTAATTTAGAGGCTTCCATCACCCACCCTGGAATGCAGAACTTCTCTGAGCCATGCACGGGCTGAAGGACTAACACACGGCAGGCTTCCACGCTACTTCCCTTTCTGCCACACTTGGATCTTTTGCTGACTGCCCTGCCCCACCCCTCCGGCGAAGGAAATCAAAGCTAGTCATCAGGGTTATTCTAGACTTTGTCTCTTGCCGAATAGCTGAGCACATCCCCGAGGCCCAGACTGAATTCTCACCTGGAGCAAATCCTGGATTTAATGTTTACAAATAAATTGATTTTTAAATCAAGGAAAGGATCTGTCCTTCGTGACAGCAGGAGAGAAGGAAACCCAGAAACTGAGGTGGGAGCATGGGCAGATGAAGCTGACCTTGCTTGAAGTGTCTCGGTTCCAGCCTCCCCCCCACCCCCGGCAGCTGCTTTCCACTGTTAGACTAAATATAGCTAGCGAATGCCAAGAGGAAGGGACACTGCCAGAGAGAGGGGGGCCTCAGGGAAAAGCTTTATGGGGTTAAACAGCTGTGTTTGTGGAGGGCTTCCTTTCACTCTTATACATGTTCAAATGGGAAGAAGCCATTCAGCAAATGGTGCGCCTTCCTTTCCGCCACGCCATCCCAGGTGGCATGCAGTGATGGACGGTTCTGGCCATGTGGGATGGTTTTGTGGGGAGCTGATACGCAGCTGTTAAAGAAAATATAAATGTGCCAGGAGACAATGATGATCCGGCATGTTTCTATTGCTGGCTACTGCATGAGGCTAATTGTTACCTGTTGGTATTACAGTAGCTCATAGGGGGCCCATTGTATAGGGAGCTGTACATGTGCGTGGTGAGACAGTCCCTGCTCCAAACAGCTGACAATCTGAGTGGATCAGGCAGATAATCAGGTAGTTAACTGAGGCACACAGAGAAAAGGGTTTGTCTACACTTGAAACGCTATCAGTGCAGGGCTTCAGTGTGAACACTATCTATGCCAAAGGGATGGGTTTCCCATCAATGTAGCTAATTCACCTCCTCGAAGGCAGGAGGTAGGTTAATGGAAGAATTCACTCTGTCTCCAGTGTAGGTTAGGTTGAGGTAGCTACGTCTCTCAAGGGTGTGGCTTTTCACATCCCTGAGAGATGTAGCTATGCTAATTCTAAGCCCCCAGTGTAGACTTCCTTAAGTGATTTGCCCAAAGTTACCCAGGAAACCTGTGGCAAGTCCAGAATTTGAACCTAGATCTCCTGGATCCCAGTCCAGTGCTTTAACACTCATCTTTCCTGAACTAAGGAAGCTGTCATCTGTTAGCCGCTGCAAGTCGGAGAGCAGCTGTGTCTGAGTGGGAGCCACAAGCTTCTACCTAGAATCTGAGGTTGATTAGACTCCAGGATATACATGCACAGCCCGAAAGCTTTGCCTCCCTTCCAGTCAAATTGTGAAGAATAGGTTGGAGGGCTGGAGTTGTACCCACTTCCTTCTGGGCTGGGCTTCACCAAAATTTTGGTGGATCCCTGAAAATGCAGTCCCCACAGTGCAGGCAAGGAAGTGAGCTCTCGCCGATGGTGTGCACGCAAAAGTGAGCTCAAGTGTGTGCTCTCAGACGCACTAGTTGTTTCAGTGGCTGGTTCCTTTAAATCCTGGTTTGTCTTTGCGCAGCATTTCCTTCTGGAGTCCCACCACTGACAAGCACAGCAGGTTCGGAGCGTGGCAGCTTCCAAGTCTTTGTCCGAGCCGCTGCAGTCTGTGCTTCCAGGGAGCTAAAAGGCTGCAGCTACAGATTTGAGAATCGTGCGGGATGCTGGGGGCTGCAGTGATTCCTTGCTGTGAACAGATTAGCTGAGCATTAAAAGCAAGGAGTTAGTGGGACAAGCAGCTCTGAGTACGCCCTTTTATCGGTGCATCGCTGACGGCCAGTGTCTCTGAATTGGAAAGCCCAGCCCGAATCTCATGAGACCCTGAAGATGGCTTTCTTCCTTCCCTTCCCCCCCACTCACACACACAGTGTTGCTCTGCTCTCCTCTCCAGTTCCTGCTCCTGGCTGGAACCACCAACATGCCACATGCCCAGTGGGCTGTTTTCTTCATGTTCCTGGTTTGGCCGGAAGCAGGAGTCCTGGAAATCTCAGGAGGCCAAACCCTGGCACCCTGGCCCTTTTGCTAAGGGATAGCCTTGGGGCTTTGCAGGTCAGTTTCCCGTCTCGAGCAGATCTGGGTGGTCAGCTGACCCTGTGCTCCTTGCTCTGCCTTGGGCACTGCACTTCCATCTGGGAAACCCCTTGTCCAAGGTTTCCATCTGATGAAGTGGTCTGGACAGCTGAATCTATGCAACTAAGAGGGACTTAGCCCACCCAGTGTCCTTAAAGATCCTGTAAGTGATTACTGTGGGCGTTTTCAACTTTCAGTGCAGACTTCCACCCTGGGTGCTTACACATCAGGGACTCCTGATGTGCAAACCATTAGCACCTTTTGCCATGCCATTGTTACTGGATTACAGTAAGCCGGATCAAGGCCCCATTGTGCTTGTTGCTTGTTGTACACATGGTAAAGGGCAGACCTTGCTCCAGTGAGTTGAAAATGTAAATGGGCAAGACCAAGTGTGGGAGAGAGGAAATGATGTTTATTTTAAAGAGGAGGAATGAAGTGAATAAAGGTCTTTAGGTTGACCGAAGAGGCCGATCCGTGCCTAGTGCAATGTTTAAAAGCACCAGTCTGCCCCTTTCGGTGCTCTGAAAAGCCTTTTAAAATCTGTGGCTGTGCAACTCGCACAGGTCACACGGGAAGGCTGTAGCAGAAGTGAGGAATGAATCCGCAGTAGTTGAGACCCAGTCCAGTGTTGTCACCCTGGACCGTTCCTTCTCTCAAATTCTCACTGGATCTTGCCAGTCTGGGCAGGGTAGTGCTCATACAAGTACATGGGGTTTTTTGGGCAATGTGGGCTTTAGCCCCAGGGGCCTCGATCCCGAGAGGACAAGATCTGATCTCCTGGCCCAGGAAAGAGCCTGCTAGTCATTTACATAGTGCCTGATGAACATAGGTCCTGATCCTGCAATGAACTTTCTGAAGACAGCTGCATGCACTTGTATAAAGCCCATTGATTCTGGGTGTGTGTCGTGCTAGGAACCTTCCCCTCCATCCCCTGTAATCTCATTTGCTTGAGCTTCTTATGTCCCTAGAAGTTCCTTTTTCAGACACACAGGGCTTTATCTGATCCCTACTTTTCTTCTCCTCGTTTCCTCTTTCATTTTCATTCTCTTTGCTCCTCTGATCCCTCTTGTGCCTGCCTTCCTCTTCCCCGCCCCCAAGACCAGCAGCTGTGTCTGTTCTGCAAGTGGAATCTTCTCTGCTTCTAATTCTTCCTCCAGTCCTGTTCCATAGTGAACATTGCAGTCCTGGCTGGGGCTGTCTCTGTAGAACAAATGCCTTTCTGCAGTCAGTGGGTTGGTTTCCAAGGCCTCCTAGTTCATGTGTTCATGAGAGAGACGAGTTGAAACGGGATGGGGAAACAAACAGAGGAGGTTGGAGGAAGTGTTCGGAGGTGGAATGCAGAATGGAGGGAGAAGAAAAGGATGTGGAAAATAAGAGGAAGGAAGAGAGGAGGAGAGAAAGGAGGAGGTCATCTCTAGGTGCATACTTGCACCGGTTTAAATTGGTTTAGTTAAATTGGTGCAAACCCCTGTATAGACTATTATATTTCATCTTGAATGACTTATTTTGGATGAGTATCAATCTGTCCATAGTAGGCTGACGAAAAAATGAAAGCAGGCTGCTTTAAACCATGGGCTTTCGCACCAGTTTAAAATCACACCTTAGGTTAAACCACGGTGTATGTGCACACAGAGAAGCCCTGTGATGGGGTAGAGAGAGAGACTTATTGAACATGGCTTTGTGTTCCTTCTGTTGCTCCTCCAGGCCTTTCTCCCTGCAGTAGTTCAAGATCTGAACTTGGAACAAGTTAGGACTTGAGGCGCGTGCGTGAGTGTGTGTGGGAGGGGGGATGTCGAGTTGGTGGAATTCCTACAATGTAAGAAGAATTCTTTTTCCTTTTGATTCTTCCTCCTCCATCCCTCTCCTCCGTGCTGCAGATGTTGGCTATAAAAAAAATCCACAAATAAAGTGGCTGCATTTCGTGAAGGCTTTTCCTCTTTGCAGATGTGAAATGTGTGACAGGGTCAGATTAACCCAGCCCCTCTAATTTCAACTCTGAAAAGACACCTAAAACTGTTACAGCCCAGAGTTGGGCATGATGAATTGGTTCAGAGGTGCTCAGGTGATGTACAGACCATAGAGAGGCACCAGCACCGTACTTAGTACAACACGGCACTGGACAAGAAAGGAAGGATCTGCCTCCACTGATCTCAATAGCAAAAATCCCACTGACATGTCTGGAAGCAGGGTTAGGATATCACCCTGGTTCTTTAAAACTGGGGTTTCCAAAGGGGCCCAAGGGAGTTAGATACCAAATTCCCATAGGGTATGTCTACACTACCCTCACTCCTTGTCTGGTGCACTGTCTAGTTTTATCACACTGCTTCAGTGATGAAATTCAGTGCTGGGTCTCCCCTGTTTCCTCTATATGTGTGTATCCTCTGTCTTCCCCTTGGGCCTCGGACAGCGCTAAGGCCCAGTCATGCAACAGTGTGGCGCCAGTCAAGCTTTCTTTGCTGGCTAGAATAGGGGAGACTGCAAGCTTTAGCTGGCATAACTGCAATTTTCACCCAAGCTGGCTCAAGTGCTGCTGCTCTGAGGCCTTCTCAGCCAGTCAGCAACCACGTCATTTTAAGGATTTTGTAAAAAGGATTTAGTGTTATGCATCTGCTGAAGTCCCTTTTCCTTGTGGTGAGCTCACAGCCATCCCATCCATAGGATGGTTTGGGGCAGCTGCCCCAGGTCCCGTGCTTTGGGGGAGCCATCCCCACCCATCCCAGGGATGGGACAGCCCCGTATGGAGGTTAACTGCAGGGCCCAGGAACGCCCGGGGAACCCCCCTGCACTCATTGTGGTGGCAGGAGCCACAGGAAGCCGAGCGACCCAACCGCCTGCTCCGCTCCATCGCCATCTCCGAGCTGGGTCGCCCCACTTAACTGGGGTGGCAGGAAGCAGAGCAACCTGGCCCCAGCCTGCTCCTCTCCGCTCCCCTGAGCAACGCAGGGACCGGGGGAGCGCAGTGGGCTGGGGCCAGGCCCCTTTGGTAATATCCCAGGTTGCATCACTCGGGGGGGGAGGACTTCAAGAATGGGGGTGCGGTGGAGGTGGAGCAGGGGCAGGAAGGGGTCAGGACAGAGCAGGGGTGTGGGTTGGGAAGGGCTGGAGTGGGGGCAGAGCAGGGGTGGGAAGAGCAGGGTGTGGGGCAAAGGGTGTTGCGCCCTAGGGATGGTCCTAGTTGAGAGAATAAATCAGGTAGCAATCAACAGTTCTCCTGACAGTGGGATCCACAGAAGTCTCTTCTCACTCTAATCTCTGTCTCTGGTTTACTGTAACAAGAGGGTTTACCCGGTCTTCCTCTCCTCATGAAACCAGCACATCTAATTCAGGGGAAAACTATGACAAGCTTTTGTACTTACATTTGAAACACATTATGTAAAGCCCCACTGGTATTTCTTTACAAAAAGGTGGTATTTTGTGGCAGAAGTGGATGAATACAGAAGTAAACAAGTTCTCCGCAGAGCACTTTCTATAAAAGCCAGTATGACATATATTACATATAAATACACAGTCCCACATCTTCAGCTGGAAGAAATTGGCACAGTTCCTGTTGATTTCTGTGCCTTAATTGCTGCTGGTCATTAAGAGTGCACGCTGCACCCTCTTTGCAAAGTCAGTTCTTTGATTCAACGCTTATATGAAATGATCAGCAGTTACTACTTTTTTTCAATTTCTACTTACTCCACAGGTGGATTTGCAGCAATGCTTCGTCAGTTTAAAGCAGTGACTTTCAAACTACCAGTCAGAGAATGTCAGGCGCTGGGTCTCATTGCTGCAGGGGGATCAGGTGACCAGTGGGGGTGCTAAGGCAGCTCCCTGCCTGTCCTGACAACACAGCCTGTGCTGTGCCCCAGAAGTGGCTGGCAACAGACCCAGCTCCTAGGTGGTGTGTGGAGGGGTGAAAGTGCACAGGGCTCCAAACACTAGCTCCACACTCCCATTGGCTGGGAACCTGCTGCTGGCTGCTTCTGGGAGCAGCATGATCAGTGGTGCCAGGAGAAGCAGGAAGCTGCCTTAGCATCCCAGCTGACTGGGAGCTGCTCCAAGTAAGCCCCTCCTGTCCTGGCCCTGACTTCTCTCCCTCCCAACATCACCAAAGCCAGAGCCCCCTCCTACATGCCAAAGCTTTCATCCTCAACCCCACCCCAGGGCCCATACGCTAATCAAATGATGTTGGGTCGCGGCATCAACAATTTTCTTCAACACGAGAAAAAAAGTTTGAGAACCACTGGTTTAAAGGACTTCTCTGAAAAATAGGACTAGATTGCAAGCTCAGGAAAAAAAAATATTGTTACCATGCTCAGGGAATAAGAGGGGTGAGGTTTCTTTAATGTACTTGCAGCATTTCCTCTCTTGTAGTAGCCCTGAAAATTGACGGGACTTTGTTAGGTCAAGGATTTACCCATAGTCCTGCAGGACGGTGATGAAAGTAACCTCTGGGAGTTCCTACCACTGGGCTATATAAATGAGGCAACGTCTACACTGCAGTTTTTGCGCAAAAACTCGCTGAGCGTCCACATTACAAGCATGTTTTTGCGCAAGTAAATTTAAATCAGAAGAAGAGAGGGCTTTTTGCACAATAGCAGTTCCTCTTTCTACAAAGAATAAGCCTTTTTGTGCAAGAGCTCTTGCCCAAAAAGGGTATGTCTACGCTGCATTCCTCTTTCGAGAGAGAAATTCAAAAGCAGACAAACGAAATTGCAAATGAAGTGCGGATTTGAATTTCCCGTACTTCATTTGCATAATCGCGTCTGGGCGCTATTTCAAAATACCCTCTTTCGAAAAAAGAAACGCAGTCTAGACGCATTAAGGGTAATTTCAAAAGAAGGGTTTTCTTTTGAAATAACCGTGTCTAGACTGTGTTTCTTTTTTTGAAAGAGGGTATTTCGAAATAGCTCCCTGACTCGATTATGCAAATGCAGCACGGGAAATTTAAATCCCTCATTTGCAATTTTGTTTGTCTGCATTTGCATTTCTCTCTCGAAAGAGGAATGTAGTGTAGACATACCCAAAGGTGGGTGTGGATGGCAAACGGGTTTCTTGTGCAAAAACAGCCTATCAAAAGAAGCACAGGTGTACTGGTGGCTTTTCTGTTAATGGCAATCAGAGCTTTCTTGCAAAAGAGCGTCCATGCAGTCTGGATGCTCTCTTGCACAAAAGCGCATCACTTTTTCGATGCACTTTTGGAGTGTGGACGCGCTCTTGCACAAGAAGCCTGCAGTGTAGACATAGCCTGAATGTTAATACAGAGGAAGAGGAAATCAAGGTAACCACTGAGGGTAAATAGAAGACTGAGTACCAGGAAATTTTCTGTGATGTTGATATTGTGATACAATCTCTGGGGGCACATCGCCAAATGCCCATCACATAACTGAAAAAGCACTAGATACTGTAGAAAGGGCATGTCCTGCACGGGCAGAAGGGAGTGGTAGAACGGGTGCTTCTGTATCTGTTTTCTAATAGTCTAGGAGTGTGCATGTGTGTTATCATTACTGAGAATATGGTGTGCTTTGTTGGCTTTCTGCAGGCCTTTGGGGGCACGTGGAGCCAATCACAAACCTGTATTTCACATTTTCTGAGCCCTCTGCCACTCCGGGAAGGGACATTGGAACGTTACACAGTGGTGACTGACAACAAAGGGTTGTACGTTATCCTGCCATCTCGAGATTTGGTCCCATGAGATAGAAGCTCCTGGATGGTGATCCAGTTGTCCAAGATTCTTTTGCTTCTCTTCTTCATCAGCTTCTTCTGACTCAGCTCAATGATACTGAGATCTCTTCTGCCCTCCGTCCCTGCTCTGTTGTCTTCCTTCAGCTGCTCCATCCGGCTTTGCATCACGAACTCCTTTCTTTGTTTCTGCTGCCTGGACAAGAGTAGGTGCTGCCTCCTCTCAGCTTTGTTCCAGTACTTCCCGGTCTTCAGCTCGCTCAAGGCATCATCATCTGTCGTCATTCCGCTGCGTTCCTCCATGATCCGCAGTGCCCTGTTCTTCAGCAGCTGACTCTTGTGCTGTTTACTCAAGGGGCGTCTGTGCCTTTTGCATGTCAGGCTCCACCCGGTCCCTTCGTCTAGTTTGCCCTGGACGGCTTCGCTGCATTGATGTAAGAGCATTGATGACCTAGGCCCGTCACTTAAGCACTCTACTGAGGCGTCTTCCTGCACTAGATTCATGTAACTCACGTAACGGCGCGCATGATACGGAATCACAAGTGCTTTTGGCTCAGCAGCAGCCTTGGATGGTGTAAGGGTAACTGGATCTGGGTCCTTCTGCCCTTCTGTTGATTTATCCATATGTGCTTGTTGTCTGACTCTGTTCACTGCATTCTGGGGGCCAACTCCCACTCGGTGGCTTGTCCCTTGGCTCATGGTGCTGACTCCCTCCAGCGGAGGACATGTAGCAAGCCATTGGTCTTGCAGGGTGGATTGCTCAGGCCCTTCCTCCTGATTTCCTAGAGCAAGTGGTATTCCCTGGTCTCTATTGAGAGCCTTAAAAAGCTGGTATTGGTGGCATTTTCTTTCCAAGATTTCTTGAAATCTCCTGTACTCTTCTGGGCTTACACTGTAGAAACTGGAATCACTTAACTCATCATAGGTTAAGAAATCATCTCTAGGTAGCTCATTCTTTGCAAGTGTCCCTCCAGTACCATGATCTGCCCTCTCCCTCTTCAGTACATACTGGCGTTCAGTATCCATATCGGGTCCCGAAATCTCATCCAGGTGGGTGCTTCCATCAGTACAGCCAACCCCACTGTCCCAGTCATGGGGGAGCAGAAATGTGTGCGCTCCTTCCTTTTCTTCTTCTGTCTAAAAAGGAGCACAGATAGTTTTTAGTTTTTCCTTTTGCAGTTTTCCTACACAGCTAAGAATGAGTCCCTAAGTCAGCTATCAGGAAATGGAAACGCAGCACTAAGCTACTGCAGATGAATTGCAATGCATTGCAGACTTCATGGGAGATGGAACATTTGCCATCAGAGGTGGGTTATAATAACTGGGTGAATGGGAAAAGAAAAGATTAATCGAGTCTTGTAGCCAATTATATTTTAATTTGCCTTCTCACTCGCTTCCATGTTATCTTCCTTGCTTTTTATTGAGCAGAATATTGCTAAACTCTGGGGATACGCTCTGAGGTATTTTTATTGAGACTTGCTTGGAATATATAGTTTTTCCCTTGAGAAATTAATTGTGATGCACACCTTCAAGTCCTAGTCTTCTACACAGCTCTGCCAGCACCTCTCAGTCCTGCCTGCAGCAGGCCTTCTATTTCAGGCCTGTATCTCTACTGTGCAAAGCTTGACTAAGCCATAAGACACAGCACACTGGACACTTAGGTGGTCCAATTTCATTCCTGCCAGGGCTTAGCCTAGTCCTCCAACACCTCAGGAGTTACCTGTTACCCTCTCCGGCCCCCAGGTTTGCTGTGTAAATACATTAGGGGGCATGAGCTTACCACACTCAAGCAGACGCTGTAGTTATCATTAGGGATGGTGTAACAGCTGCTGAAGCTCCTCTCCTTTTGATGACTGAGGGCCAGTTCCTGAAAGAGAAACAAAACTTGACGTGTACAGAGATGGTTAAGGTGTGACTCAGGGTAAGGCTGAGGTGGCTGATTGGGATTTTTCAGAGCCCCTTCCTCCCCAGCTCATGAGAGGAGCCTGACCTTATTTCATTATTATTTAGTGTTTATATTTGCGTGCCTTGGAGCCCTGGTCACACCCTCAAACCTCTTTAAGCGGAAAAGCAACTATGAAGAGGGAGAAGTGCTACCTCGTAGTCCAACTCGTCTTCGTTTTCCATATCATGAGGTGCAGTCAGCAGGTACCTGGGCTCGTCACCATCCCAATCTTGGGGCAGCAAGAAATTGTAGCCGGACCTGTGGGTAGGGATAAGCCAAAGACAGACAGTGATCCCCTCGCAGCCCGGGGGTGGTCTGTGAATTGGGAAGTTTTTCTTTGGAATGTCAGACACTGAGGCGGTGTAGGGGCTTGCTTTTTGGGTGGGATTGGTCAGGGCAAAAGCTGGATCAGGCTGTCCTAAAGCTACAGGCCGGCACCCATGAGAAACCCGCTCAGGTTCACAGGAACCAAAACCGAGTGAGCAGTCTGCGTGGGAAGCCTGGAACGCCCAAATCTCTCCTGCCGTAGTGCTTCCGTAACAATGGGCTTTGTTTAAAACAGGGCGGGGGAACCTTCTTTTGGTTGGGTGCCGCTGCCTCAAAGAAAAATCAGTTGGGGACCTTGCACAAGTGAGAAGCCAAAAAAAACCCCCAAGAACTGGGACGGGGACGGACACCCCCCCCCACCCCGGGGCCTAATGAGGTCCAGGCTAGTAGATTTTGTGTGCTCCAGTCCCACAGTAGGTGCAGTCTCCCCAGTGTTTGGGGTGGGGAGCCCTGGGCCTCGGCAGCCTGATTCAGGCAAGCTGGGATCTACATCCAGCCCCTGGGCGTGAGGTTCCCCACCCCGGTTTAAATCAACACAGCATTTACTAAGCATGAAAGGATTCAGATGGGGAAGAATTGGTCTTGTGACTGACTAGTGCTGGGCCATCTCTTTTCATGGTGTTCACTGTTGTATCTTTAAACATAGGACAATGGACTTGTGGACCAAGTAATGTTGTGGCAAAGCTAGTACAACAGGAGGGCCAAAGAAAACATGAGCAGCTTTTTCCAAGGCATTGACAAGCCTGCTGAGACACGGGAAGTCTAACAATAAGATTTGTCTCTTTCAAAGTTGTTCAGGGCAAGTCCAGAGGTGAGGGATGTGTAGCAATCCCATCTCTGCTTCTCGGAAGACCCCTAAACCAAACTGAGCATATACCTGCCAAGGAAGAGATTACAGCTTTCTGGGGTGAAATCCTCCCTGTTTGGGTACTGCTTATTCCACCAACTGGAGTCGGTCTGGGTTGCTGCATCAGATGTGCAGGGCGGTTTACAGGAGGGCTTCTCTCTGTGGACCTCCAGTGTGATTTGTTCGTCTGTGTTGTGGAGTATTTCTAGTGCCTCCTGCATGGTGGCTCTGCAGATGTCCTTTCCATTGACCTGTTGGAGATTCACGAAAGGAAAGATTAAATTTCTACTTTAGTGAGCAATATTCTGACGTTTCACATTTGCATGCCTCGTCTCCTTGCTGCCGGCTGTTCTCTATCTCAGAGCCAGGGCCGGATTAAGCGGGGTGTGGGGCGCTAGCCGGGTAGCTACTCGGGGTGCCAACCTATGGGGGGCTCCTGATTGAAGTGGTAAGGGCGCGCCCGGGTGCATGGCACCCCTTATCACTTCAATCAAGCGCCCCCCCATAGGTTGGCGCCCAGGGATGGGGCTGCGCATGCGCCGTGCACGCACCCGCTGCCTGGCGAGCAAGTATGGCTCGGTCGGGCACTGCTCAGAACAGAACTGGCTACTGTTTTTGCTGTGACTTTGCTATTCAGAATTAATTTGTTTTGGGGGCTGGTCAGAAAGATGGCAGACGGAAAGTCTTTCAACAGCGGCTCTATTCCACCATGGAGATAGCGAATGACATGTTCCCTACGTGTCTGGAAGATGCATTGGGGGTCACTATGAAAATACCATTCCACTAAGAATAAAGGTCTGCACACGGTCTTTCACTGACTTAGTTAAACTGCTGAAAACCCCTCTTGGGACACTTGTTCCTTTCAAAACCGGCTCCTTTGAGTTTAGTTTCAGTCTGTTCCGAAGTGAACAACACTGCAGTAGGCCGGTTTTAATCGGTGTTAAATACATCCACACAGCAGCAGCCATTTGCAGTGATTTAACACCACATCTCAAATGGACCCCACGCGACTGTGCATAGACACAAGTCCTTACATTTGTTTCTCACCTCCCCCAGAATTCTCAACCACAGTTTGACTCGTAGCATTTTCAACAGGGATCTGTGTTTTCTTAGTGTTTTTTAAAAAAAACCTCAGGAGTTTGTTGTTTGTCTGAGTCGGGGGCCCCTACGGAGAAGCAGAAAGACACTCCCCACGTTCCCCTTGCACATCAGACCCTAGGGAGGCTTGGGCTAGTAGATTTTGTGGGCCCCACTAGGTTCTGAGGTGGGGCCAAAAATGGGAGTGGGAGGGGCCTGCTGGGATTGCCTGATTCCGGCTCATGAGGCTCTTACATCCAAGCCCTGAGCATCAAGGAGCCAGGATCCAGCCCCCGAGCCTTAGGCTCTCCATCCCTGGTTTAATTGCACTTGTGAGTGCAAATGCAATCCATAGCACTGCTGTGATGCCTTTGGTGCACATCGCAAGATGTACAAAGGTCTGCCCCCAACCCCTCTTCTCATATGCTATATCCACAAAGGCAGCTCTTGAATGGAAAGGAACAAGAGGGGCTTTGTAACTCAGGTTCCCTCTGTAAAAGCTCCTGCCCCAAAGCGAGGTGCTTGCTCCCGGCTATCCTGTTGCACTGCATCCACCATAGGGCAGAGTGAGTCCCGTGTTGGTCATATTGGGGGCGTGCTGCCACTCTACCCCAACCTGCAGGGGTGGACTCATGCTTAAGTTGGAAGCTAGCAGTTAAACCGGCAAAGAACTTGCTCCCATCTGGACAGGTCTTCCTGACTACTGTAAACACAGAGCTTATGTGTTATGGTGTTGGTGAGTGGTGCTTTAGAGATGTAGAGATTACATTGAAGAGACAGACCAAACCATTGTCTCCTTCCCAGATTGAGGAAGTCTCATGGTGGGAAAGGAAGAATAATGTCATTTTGCATCTCAGTAGCAATTGAATGCCTCCACTGCCTTGCAAAGGTGTTCTCCCCTTTTTAGAGATGGAATAACTGAGGCATGTAAAAGCCAACCTTTTCCAAAAGTGTCTATTAATGGTGGGTATCCAGATTTGGGCATGATGGTTCTGATTTTTCAGATGTAGCAAGTCTTGGTTCACTTTGAGCAGCGAGCGTGTTAATTGCAATGTCCTTGCTAGTTTAAATATGTTGGTTAACACAGGCTAGTGCAGATTTGCTAAGAGGAAGATCCCAGAGCCTTTACTAAAGTGGAGATGTAATGTGACCTCCCTGAACAGATCCAAAGTGGGTGACATTCTGAGGGGTACTAGAACTGCTGGCTAATCTTTATCCCCCCTGCATTTGTTAATGCTCTCCTCCTGCCATGCACGTGAATAATGGCCATTCATATGTGCAGGCCATCCCAGATCTAAATGGCTGCACCACGGGAGAGAGAACTTTTTCTGTTCTTAACTTTGTAATGTCCCCCCAAAAAACCCCTTTCCCATTGTTACCTAAATTCCCCCCTCTTTTCCCTTACTGCTGCTATCTATCTTTCTCTCGTGCGCATGTCCAGGCGAGGGTAGGCAAGCTGCTGCTGTCTAAACTTTCTTGTTATGTGGAGTCTTGGCAGGAAGCCCTTTGCAGCACAAATGTTAGCTCCCTGCCAATGCTCCTGATAAATAAGAAACAGTTATCTTTGCCCATTCTAAATTCAGTCATGCTGCATGCAGGAAGGATGTCAGATTTGCTAATGGCATTACCGGGTGCCTAACACAGTAATGGGGCAGAGGCAGCTGTTTAAAGATCACTGCTGTAGATGTTTGTCTGCATTGAATAACTAGGTCGTCTTCACTTTTGGAATTTTTGATCTTTCTCTGTTTGTCAATCCAGTACTTCACTCGTTGGAACTAAGGCCGTGGAAGAGAAGAAAAGACTGTGACAAATCTGGGCCATCTAGGGTTTTATGGATCCCTGTGTCCCTGAACAGCATGGCTGCTCAGAAATTCAGGAGGCAGTGGGGATAAAAGGTGGCTCTTCCTTGACCAAAAACATAGGTTTATACCCTCTGAGCCTAAGAGAATCTCTGTTCTCCATTTACAGCAGGGGTGAGGAACCTAAGGCCCGGGGGCCGGATGCAGCCCCCAGCTTGCCTGGATCCGGCCCCCAAGGCTCAGGGCTCCCCCCCTCCAGCACTGGAGAGTCTGTGCTGGGGCTCCACTCTCCTGCTGTCCCCCTGTGGGGGTGAAGTCAACAAAATCTACTAGCCCAGATCCTCCAGGCTCCGGTGTGCAAGGGGAATGTGGGGAGTGTCTTTCTCCTACTCAGTTGCCTCAGTGAGGGTTTGGGTTTTTTGCTTCTCACTTGTGTGCAGCCCCCAACTGATTTTTCTGTGGGTCGGTGGCCGCTGACTCCAAAAAAAGGTTCCCCAACCCTGATTTACAGGATCTGTGACACAGATGAGCAGTTATGATTTCATCCCATAGAAGGCAGCGGTATACGATGCGACATTCTATATACAAATTAATTTTTGAATTCTATGCTGTAGAGAGGGTGTCATGCGATCCCTTGATTTTGGTTCTCCTGAACCCCCAAAACAGAGTAATCCATCTGCTTGGCAGAGAACTTGATTGGGCATTTCTTGCACTTAGTCCAGTGGAGTGTGTGTTCCCTTGAGCACTTCCCCTAGCTGCTGGAATAAACGAAACAATCCAGCTCGAGGCGTCCTGCACGTGTTGGGAGAGATGCCACACATGTCTCAAAGCACCTCACAAAGTAATAAGGAATGCTGTGAGAGCGGCAACTGTGCTGATGCTATTAGGTACTCGGTCTCCAGCTCATGGACAGCCTTGGGCACTGATTGTGCAAACCCCCCAGTTTCCAGTGATTGCAGGAAGCGGGAGGTGGGCGGGAGGGAGGAGTGAAATGTGGCATAGGCACTTGAGTGCTTAGGAGTATTTGAATACATAGACTGCCAACTGACTTAAAGCACATACATGTGTACCCCTGCCCTTTAGGGAATGGAACCATAACTACCCAGTTATACGTCACAGGCCTTCCCTGTTAATGAGAGTCTCCTTTCAATCAAGTAGAAGGGGGCCTATATTCTTTGAAAAACAGGGGAATCTGTTTTGTCTCTGCTGCCTTCAGTGCCAATGACCCAGGTGTATGGTGGGAGCCTAGTTGGGAGGCTTGCAGGGTCTGGTCTGTAGGGAGATGGGGGGGAAAGACTGTTGGCCAGTGAAGATGCTCAAATAATTGGAGCGAGGTCAGTGGGAACAATTTACATAGCAGAAGTACACTGGGGTTGTGACCATTGTAGCATTTGCCAATGCTTTCCCCTTAGTGTTAGAAAAGGAAATAACCATCTGAAGTATCGTAATGATTTTTGACAATTTTGTGCATTAATTCACTTCTGAATATGTTTATACTCAGTTTCTATTTCCAGTACTAATAGTTTATATGTGAAAGAGGCTTGTGCATAAAGAACTATAGATGCTAAGAATGATCATTCTGCTCCACTTATCACATTTATCCTCGATAGTATGAAAAGCATAGAGCATCTAGCATTGCAGCATTTATTCTAAAGAGTAATAGAGTATTAAATATACTGAATTCAACAGAAGATTCATCTTGGTTATTACAGCAGCAAATGTACAATTGACATGTTGTGAGTAGGCAGCAAATCAAATGCCAAAGATGTAAATGACAGAAATCTATTGTTACAAAAGACCAGTGTTCCCTGTAAGCTGTGCTCTTGGGCAGCCGCTCAGGAGAGATTCAGATGCTGCCCAGCTGATTAACAGAGTGCCCCCGGCTAGGTTTTGTGTTTCTACTGGTGGTGCACATAAAAAATATTACCCAGATAAATGGAAAGGGTTAGAGGGAACACTGAAAGTGACGATTCATTTCTTCCACTTGGTGCAGTTATTTTTTTAATATTGCTTCTCTGATTTGATCAAGGTCACTGGAATCAAATCATCTGACACTAAAGCCAACGCAGGCTCAGGCTTCTACACAGATATTACCGCAGGGCTCAACTGCATCCACAGAAAGCTGCCAAGGAGGGGGGCTCAGCTTTCACATTTAGACACCAAAATAAATGGCCAGATTCTCCAACACTAGGCCCTGAGCCATTTTGAAAACTTGTTCCCTCCCCCCCACTTTTGTGGGTGTTTCGCCTTTGAAAGCCAGGCCCTGAACTCTCTTGAAAACATAGCTAAGCATGAATAAGGAGGCAAAAACTAGAAGTTACAAAACAAACCAAGAAATAGAACAACAACAAAAACAACCCTGGAGGGAAAATCTAAAACCTCATGTGATGTTTTTAAAATGCCTTTCACCGTTGTTAATAATATAAGCACTGCCATGTGATATGGATACTGGTGTCCACAGAGATAACAAGATAAACGGCTAATTTTAAATCGGATTTATTTTTGGAAGCTGCAATTCTGATCGCTAATTTCAGCCTCAGTGAAATAAATGCACTTAGCTGAACTAAGAGGAAGGGTTCCCTGTATGTTGTTGATCTGAAGCATCATCAGTGCAGAGAATAGATTCTACCATCTGTTGCATCTCTTGGCATTCAGGATTTACTCACATGGAAGCAAAGATAATTTCTTTGTACCTTAATTCGGTCCCAAGAGGAGAAGAGGAAGATCATATTCCAGCCGTTCCTTTTTTTGGGGGGGTGGTTTTGTTGAGGTTGGACTCCTAGAATCTTCAAAGCCCTGTCCAGTTCTCTCCCTCGGTCTCTGTCCCAAATTTCTGAGCTCACTCAAATGAGCAATCCTCCCATTCTCTCTCTGTGTCCCTTTCCTTTAAAAGGGTGGCACTTGTTTATGTTTCCAGTGGGATAGGGACCTTTCATTACTGCCCTTTGACCAATCCCAGGGCTAGTTTGTCTAAGCCTGTTGGCTTATTGTGGAGACGGGTTGTTTCTCCTTAATGCTTTTTCAGTATGGAGTTTATTTATTTTGGTCTCTGCATCCTGCTGAGGCCGGGGGATGGGTGGTTTGATCCCTTTACTTGCCCATTTGGAATTCACAAAGCAGCACTTGTGTAGGAAGTGATTAACGAAATCTCTGTTGAGAAGCTGAGCCTGGACTTCAGTAATCTTTTGGGATCTAGAGGGCACTGTCCAGACTGTTGAGTCCACAGCAAACATCATAGAATTAAACCAGTAATCAAACAAAGTTGGGAACCAAGCAATCCTCTAAAATGTCCTTGAAAGTGGTGATTTTTGTTTTTAGGTAGGATACAAATCACGGCTCTTGATTTCATGACGACAAAGCAGGCTCCTCTAGACTCCTAGCTTGAACAGTTACCGAAGGCGTTTGCTCGAACTATCCTTTTTCCAGCATTGGAGTGATAGTTTATGACAGCTACATTTCACTAATTACCTTTGTTTCAAAGTGGTGTGTCAGTTCAGCTCAAACAAATACTAAGCCAAACCTTGAACTGAAACTTTTGTAAGGATGGCAAAAGTTTGGTTAACTCTTTTCCCACTTCGTCTGTGGATCTGAATTGTGCTAGTTGCGGTTCTTTTGGAAATAGCCCTTTTTCAAAAGATCTTGTACTCATTTTTTTTACTACTACTTTGCCCAGTACAGGTTGTTCCTGTTTTATTCTTCAGGGCTACGTTTAAAATGTGCTATCTATTTGGCAGTTCCACTGAAGACAACCTGTTCTGAGAGGCTAAATATATTGATTGGTGCTAAATACTGCTGTCAATCAAAACCCTGGCCATTAATGGTTTTTAAAACTGAACTGCCATCTCAGGGGGATTTAAGAGTCCTGGCTGTCACCTGCTGATTTTCTTAATGCTATCTCCTTCACCTTTACAAAATCCCTGTGGAATGTAAATCTGTAATTTTACATCAGTCCAAGTAATGGGCTCCCACCAATTAATGCCCCAGCCCATGGATCTCCACAAATACAACACAAGAAACAATAGGATAAGGGAGTAGTGCCTTCAAAATGAGCCTGAGCTTGCATTTGTGTGCCTTCTTGTGAGGTCGTTTCAGACTTGCAGAGTCTGCTTTGAAAGTAGCATCTGGGGCTGCCAGGACAGCCTGGATTTTGGAAGCAGTTAATATAGCAACCAAATACACTATGCAGGTTAGCCAGTTTGTAACGATAGCAGCTGTGACGGAACGAAGGAACAGTTGCTGTGTTTGTGTCTGGTCGTATGGACTGTGATGCTGATCTGGATTGCTGCCATGCCCACTTACAGACACACTTTTTTACCCTCCCCATGGAAGTACCAAGTAGAGATGTGAATGATTATTCGGTAAGCCTCATCCTTAATGGGAGAGGCTTACTGATTAAAGTTAACAGGTGGGAGCCAGAGCAAGTTAACCAATTAAATGGGATTTTACATCCCTAGTACCAGCTAGTGTGAGGACTGTGAACTAAGTTAATTGGACAAGTGGTACTGATGGCTTTAACTAGTTACATGAATCTAGGGCTATGTCTACACAGCTTCCCTCTTCTGCAAAAGCCTATGCAAGTGAAGTGTGGATTAGCATATTGCTGCACTTCATTTGCATAATTAATTAGAAGCCAGTTTTGCGCACGAGGTTTTTGCACAAAAAGGTGCAGTTTAGATGGCGCCTTTTTGCGCAAAAACCTCTTGTGTGAAACTGGCTCCTAATTAATTATGCCAATGAAATTTGTATTATCATATTGCTGTGCTTCATTTGCATAGGTTTTTGTGGAAGACGGAAGCTGTGTAGACATAGCCTCAGCTTAATTTGGCCTACAGTCTTAATGTAAGGTAGCATGGTATAGTAGTTACAGCAAGAGGTTCTCTTCCTGCCTTGGTTGCTGACATTGTGTGGCCATAGCCTCTCTGTGCCTCAGTTTATTCATCTGTCATAGAAGGATAAAAATACTTGTTCACCTCCGTCAAGTGCTTTGAGATCCCTGTGTCAAAGGCATGGAGTAATGAGCAATATTTTTAACGTAGTTCAATGTAGGGATGTTAGAATTTAACTTGTTAACTGGTAAGCTGTTTATCAGTTTAAGTTACCGGTTAAACTCTGCCCACCTGGGGAGATGGCTGTCCCCCTGCTGCAGGCTCTGCAGTTTAACTTGGAGCTGGCAGGCTTCTGGCATATGTGAGCTCCTGGTAACTGGCCCTGCTTCCAGGGAGCCGGCGGCCACCCCCGTGCCTAGGACTCTGCCAGCCCCACTCTGATAGCTGGTCAAGGCACCATGCATTGCCATGTGTGTTTATGGGTGACCCACATGGGTACTATGGGTAGTAAATGCCATCCGCTAGGGTTTGGATAGAGCCACTGGCAATATCAGTAACAAGTCTGTGTGTAAACTCCCCCAGTCTCAGCTTTATGAATCATGTGAAAGCTGAACTGAGTTCTGGGTGGACTGGGCCAAGTCAGAGAAGCCACAGGAAACGGGCAAACTTTGAGTTTGGGTGTGGGGCCACTTGACCCACAGCCTCCAAGAGCAACTTGGGGGGTAGAAGCACAAAGTCAGATTTGGTGGCAGGAGATGAGCAGCCCCCCATCAAGCCCACCTACCAGAAAATTCATATGTATTTATTGCATGCTGAGTGGTGGTGTGCATTTTATGAGTAAGGACAGGTAGCTCTGTGAACCCAGGTGGATGTTGCTGCCTGGGATGTGTACCTTTGCTTCCATGTGCATTTTAGAAAGAAGCAAACCAAACAGAGCCTAATAAAACATTCTGACTGACAAGTCAGACTTTTGCAAACTCAGGTTTCTATGGGGTGTAGTAGGAGGAATATTGGTTCTGTGATGCCTTTCCCATACTCCTGCCGGGTTACTCATGTCCCTCTTCTGCTCTCTCACTTTCCTTGTGTTTCTCCAGCTCCAGCATTGCTTAGGGTCCTCCTTCACTTGACCATTTTGAGCTTCCGGTTTCCTTTGTTTGGTTGAACTATTTCTGTTAGTAACTAACATGGCCCCAGCATGCAGTGTTTGAACTCTTCACTGTCCGTAGTGACTTCATCCTGGCAAGAACCCTTGACGTAGGGTCATTGTCCCCATTTTACAGACAGGAATGGGTACAGAGAGAGGCCAAGTGACTTATGAAAGCCAAGGTCCCACAGGGAAATCTGATAGAACGGGGACTTGAATCCAGGTCTCGCAAGTCTGACTCTGGTGCCCCCACTACTAGAGCAGAAGCTATTTGATTGTGGGTATTAGTGAGTGCATTGTAGGCAAGGCACATGAATATGAGCACATTCTGTTACTGAAGAGAGGAGAATCTTCAACAGAACTACCCAGGGGTGTCCCCTGGCTGACCCACTAAAGGTTGCAATGCTTCTAAGATGCTTGGGAGATGGGGAGAGAGGTTGGCAGCCCTGACTGGCTGCTGTGGTGGGCTGAGACTTGTATCACTCGAACCAATCCAGGGGAATGCAGAAGCGTCTGTCATGGAGTTAGGCATGTGACCATGTAGTGCACAGAGAGTAGAAAAGACCAGGGCCTAGCAGCAAACAAGACACTGAGAGGCTGGCATAAATCATTCAGCTTTTTGTGCTGCTGCAGCATCAAAGGCACTCAATTGTGTCTGCCTGTCCGACAGGCAAGTGGGCAGGAGAGAAATCTTATTACCTCTTTCTAGGGATGTTAAATTACAAGTAACTGATCAATCCAATAGTCGATACATTTTGCGTTGATGGGGTGTCTCCTCCTTCAAAGGCAAAAGCACCGTGCGGAGCCCAGAGTCAGTTGGAGACTCCCCCGCTGACCCTGGGCTCCATGGGGTACTGCCGCTTTGAAATGCCACGTACAGCCTGGGAACACCTTAGTTGGCCCAAGTCTCCACATGGCACTGCTGCTTTGAAGCACCCCCCGCCCCCACAACTGCCTCTTTCTGATACAGGCACCGGAGTGACAAGCTGACTAGTCCTTTACATCCCTACCTCTGTCCAGATCTCTTAAGGAGAGCTGCCGTGTCTCTGGGCTGCACAGCTGGGCACTCAGCCATATGCTTCAAGAGACTTGGGCTGAACGTAACTAGGGGTTGTGGTATGGCTGAAACCACTTCCTCACAGTAGCCTCCCTTGACTTGCTGTAAGTTTTCTGTAGTGATTTAGTTTCTCTCCGGGCATTGCGTAGGTAGCACTTCGGTTTTGTCCTGACTCCGCTCCCTCATTTTTCTCACATCGCACCCACTGACTTTGGGATTTTGAGGATCCCCGTGAAGATCCTCAGTGCAGAACCATTTTGCTACTGCACAGTGCTCTGGCAGCCATACCAGCTGTGCAATGTTAGCAGTTGCTTACAATGTGCAGGCAGTTTTTTTACCAAGATATTTAGTCCTGCTATGCGGGCAGCAGACAGGACTAGAAGACTTCCCGAGGTCCCTTCCAGTTCTATGATACTGAGTTTTTCAGCATGCATGCCCCTGCAGCATCTGCCTGTTGGGTTGCAAAACTCTTTGGGACCTGGAAGGAGGGAGACGAATAGCATTGAAGGCCAGAGGGAGACTTAGTTTAATCATTTAATGTGGTCTCCTGGATCACACAGACTGGAGAATTTCACCCACTGATTCCTGCAAGAGAGGAAAGGATTGCCTTCTGTGGGAATGAAGATTGAAGCACCAGCTAAACTAAAGCACGTAATTTAGCAAGGCATCCAGTACTGATTTAAAGTCTCCCTTGTGGTGATGAATTTTCTGCTTCCCTTGCTAAATTGCCCCAATAGTCAATGGCTGCCACTGTTAATAAATTCCCTCTTATTTCCAGTTTGAATGTTGTCATTCCAGCTGTTGGTACACACTAACCAGATAAACATGGCGAGAAATCGCCATTCAGACCCTCCTTAAGCCCCAGCATGTCCTTGCTTTGAGGACAATGAACACAGTTCCAAACAGCTCCTTCTCCTCTCACTCATCGCCTTTGCTTTGGAATGGGATTAGGGCTTCCTCTGTGCTAATTGAA